AGATACGACGCTGAAACATGTAGGCATAATAGGGTAAGTTAAAGTTACCATAACAGATGTTTTGATTTTAAGACTACATTCCCTTACTCTGGCTAATATTGTCACAGTCTTCTGGTTGCCTAAATATGGGTCATTGTTATCAGCCATATCCTATCATCCTTAGGCAACTTTCCCAATAAGGCAAAGGGGGATTTTCCTTGAGTGACAGATGTAGAATAGTGGCAGATGCAGAATTCACGATTATTTATCCTCTCTCTGCCATGTTATCTACACTATAGAATGTCTGTGGAACACTTAGGAACATTTCATCCTAAATAAGGACAAAATACCCTTCTCCAAAATATTACTTTTACCTAACTTTTTCTTCTTCGTAGAGCAGCATAGACATTAACGAAGAAACTGGAATCTAAGCATGAGTAAAGATTTTGTCTGAATGCATTTATGCTTCAAAATGCCTTATACTTTAAACTAGTGCATCTTTACTTTCTTTAATTTATATTTTCCAAGTTTATTTTCCAAGATGTCAACACAACATACAACACAGCTTTGTTAATTTAAATACTGTATCTATAAAAACACAAAATGAAGTTAATTGCTAGTATAATTGGCACAGCTATATAAATCCCAAGTGGCTTTACCAGCTTGCATTAGAAGATATTTTGGCCCATAATATTAATCTAATACTTTTTTTTCCCATAAATAATAGATTAGGTGAACAAGTACTCTGGTATGTGCTTACAATTTTAAACAAGTATTATCTACCTGATACGACAACTCTTTTTAAGTTAATCAAGTATTTTACAACGCTCACAGGCTCTTTTAGAATTGCACTAGATAACACTCTTGTGGGTGCAATGCAAGATATTCTAAATTCTGCCCTTTTTTTTCCAAAGCACTGTCATCTAATGATAACATATACTGTAGCGGCTGTACAGTTATATTAGGTCACAGTCATAAAATACTTGTTTGACTCTGTTACTGTAGGCAGAGCCCTCATGGCAGCGAACGGCTCTGTGGTTCTAGGGACGTGGCTGGATGGTGGGATCCTCGGAGAAGGGCCCTTCCTGCCCTGGCACCTGCCGGCACGGCCAGCACAGCTGCCCCAGCCTGAGGAGCTTGGCAGCATTGGTGTCGTGAGCGGTTTGTGGCATTGGGAAGTTCCAGCGTACAAGTAGATAAAACATAAGGGACTCTGAGGCCCAGCATTGCTCTCTTGTTCTTCTTTACAGCCGCATTCAAGAAACTGTGGACTTTCTGCCCAATGAAGGGCTGCAGTTGTACTCAAGAGATACAGGGGAAACCAGAGCAATTGCACTGCATACGGCTTCTTTGAATGCAGGGGCAGTCCGGGCCTGGCAGATGAAGGCCGCTCTGGCGCAGGGGAGAGGGGCAGTCCAGGCCTGGCGGATGAAGGCCCTGGTGGCACAGGGCAGGGGGGAAAGGTTTCTGCCAGTTCTGCCCGACACTGGGAGGACGCCACAAACGAACGCACTCTTCTTAGCGTACAGCATGAGAGAGAGAGAATCCTACCGCAGAACCTGCAATTTCCAAGCTCTCACATGGGCTTTGCCTCCTTGGAGAGGATGCCTTGACAGGAGCAGATGTGATAACAAATGACCTTCACAGTCGCACCCTGAGCTGTTGACTGTTTCCTGAAAGCTGCTATCCTCAAGGGAAACCTTAAGACCCTGGCATACAACTAAGATGGGTCAAAACCAAGAAAAGCAGTAGAGCATAAAACTTAGCACCAAAATAAGGAGGGGTAAGGAGGGGTAAAAAAAAAAAGAGAGAACAAACATTATTTTAAGAGTTTTTGCATTTAAAGATCAAAATCACAAATCTAAATGCAATGCCAAGACGCAGTATTATACCATCTTCATCCATAATTCAGGAAAAAAATCTGAGATTAAACAAAAGTCCATCAAACAATAGCACAATAAAAATTAGGTTCAAAGCCAATTAGTCTTTATTAAAATTCAAATTAAATCAAATGTATAATTTTGGATAGCATAATACTTGCACTTTCCTATTAGCATGCTCAGCTTTGTTGTGCAACATGACAAACTAAGGAGACTCCTTCCAAATTACAGCTTATGGGGTAATTGGAGCACACCCGAAGCCGCTCACGGGGAACACGTGTGGCTCTGAGCGTGAGAGAGGAGGTAGCAGATTGCTCATTTGTTCCTCTTGGACTTCATCAGCTACAGTGAAAACTTTCTCAGCACTGACTTCTTGTAAAGCTCCTTGAAATCAAGACTATGACCATATCCCATGACTAGCATGGAGCAAAAGTCACATTTCCCCCATATGCTCGCTTAGGTTCGTGTTGATGACTTCAGGCTGTCTCAACTAGGTCTTCTCAGGGAAAAAAAAAAAAAAAAACGACTGAAAGAATAACAACATACTCTCTGCCATTCCATTTTTAAGGCAAGGCTGGAAAAAAAGACCCCCCTTGGCCCTGTTAATACAGTGATGTGCTACATCTCATTCGTTGCCTGTGAAAGACAGAGAAGAGAAAAAGGGAAGGAGTAAGCAGGAGAAAGAATGAGAAAGCAGAAGCAGAAACGAAGATGCAGTATCTGGAGACAGAAAATGAAAGGAGGGATGACATCAGGGGAATGTGCAAAACATGCTTTTTTTCTACACTTGCTAAAACTAAACAAACAAACAATCTTAAAAGCTGAAATAAAAAGCACAGACAGATGTATTTGACTGTTTTTTTTTTTCCTTTCTAGCAATGATATGATTTGCTCTATGATTTTTCCCCATCAATTCCTGTCCTTTCCCTGCCGTGCTTCTTTTCTATCATCTTTTTTCTATGTCTCTTTCCATGGGCTTTCATTCCTTTTTCTTTGCTTCTTTCTGTCTGCTTCTTTCTTCTTCTTCTTTTCTTCTCTTGCTCTCCCTTGTCTGTTTTTTTTTTTTTCCTGTGCTTGCTCTCCCATGTGTTCCCTGAGCACATGAAGAACATGAGCCCAAATAGTGAAAAAGCACTTTTTCTCTGATGCTCCTTTTCTATCCCCATGTGGTTTTGACTGCTGTGGCTCTGTTAGGTTTAAAATACACATGGGGAAGCCACTTGTACTCCCATGTGTTTTAGAACTATCTACAGTAGCACACTGCAGGAAAAACATGTGGGAAGGGAATGTGTCGGAAAAGTTGCTTGTACTCCCTCCAACACGTGGGCCACATTTAACAAGGTCAAGGGACAAGTGTGGCTCACAGGCATTAGCTTGACTGGTACTATAAAAAGGATCCTGCATTCTTCTTTCTTTTACCTACATACACTTTGCAGTTAATTACTCACCAAAATACAGCTTATGGAGTTTCCAGCAAACCACCTCTGTGCTTAGACTAGATGACTGGCTTATAATATTTTAGGAACATATTATTAGATTTTTTTTCTCTGATTTGAAAATTCCAAGATAATGAAGGCTATAAATGTAACAGGAGGAAATCCCTTTTTTCCCCTCTTTGCTTTTCATCCTGCATGGGGCATCACACATGTTGTTGAGCAGCCAAGGAGATGCCCATTAAACTGGTTGTGTTTCTAAGACAGATCCTTTCAGTGGAGTGTCCCTTCCAATTTTTTCTGCTGAGACCAAATTCACACAAAATGTCTGGGAACCATTGGTTCATGTTGTGCACATTTTGACACCTCTCAGCTGGCTTTTGCAGTTTTCCAAAGCACCTGTTCCAATACAACCTGTCTTTTTGGCAGCAGCCAATGCCAGCAAGACCCTGGTTTTCTTTCCTCCTTTACATAACTATCTCTAACAACTATCTCTAACAATGTACATGCCAAAAATATTGTGAGGTGAAAGGAGGCAGGTGCTGCACAGTTATCCTAGATACTGGACTCCGCTTTCTGCAGAAGAATTTATATTTACATTGTTATGGAGCCCAACTAAACTGCTTGCCTGTCACTTATCTCCTTGGGGAGAGGTCCAGCCAAGTGGGCTGTTTGCCATGTGAGCAGATGGGCATAGGGAACCCCAGCCAAGAAATGATGGATCAAATTTTGAAATTTGTTGCTCGTTCTTCACTCTAGTAGTCTCTAATTGGCCTCAATGGAACTTTATCTCTGTAAAAAAATGATATAATGGTAACAACATTTGACTGTACAAATACATACCACATCCACAAGCCGGACTCCTGACTGAGAGAATCAGAGTCAGTCAGTATCTATTAGAAGCCTGTGCAGCTCTCTGAGCTTAACATGCTGCTATGGGAGGGCGCAGAGGAATTCAAAGGCAATATCTAACACGTATTTTGAACACTGATATAAGACGAAGTCTTTTGTCTAAAAAAGATCCTTTGAATAAATAACACAATTTAAACAAAGAACTGGTTCACTTATGTTCTATAATAAGCGTACAATAAGAGGAAGTAAGATAAGTTTTTCCATGATGTACAGTTTCTGACACATGGTTTAAAACTGTTCTATCATTTATATAACAAATCTTGTTCTGGATTTAACATATGCTGACAAATGTTAAATAGGATTTAACTGGTTCTAATATAATAGGAAGAAAACCTTTTTTTTTTAGAAAAGCACTGTTTCTTGGTTTTCTAAGTAGTCCTATGGCAGCATACATTCATCTCAAGTTTCTATGTACTGAGTAAAAATATAGAGTGTGAAAATAATGTAGATTTACCCTTGTGCCTCATTGATGCAGTCATTTACTCACTCATTTCTGTTTTGGTATCCTCAGCACTTTGAATTATTACCAAATAAAAAGTGTTCACTTTACCTCCAAAATTTAGAATCCTTTGTAAGCGTGGGATAGCTTTATAAATTTAACTCTGACTTTCTGTTCGCCCTTCTACTATATCAATATTGTCTTATATTAACTAATTCCAGCAGTTGCAAGTCTTATGTCTCTTTTTAGTTTACATTTTAACAAGCTACTGACAAATCTGAAAAAAAAAATTAAACAAGAGTTAAAGAATTCTGAGTGGATCAGTAGCAAGTGATGAGGACAATTAATGTTAAAATGCAACCTCTGCAAATTCTTTCTTTTTTTTGTAATAAAATTATACATACAACAAAAGCAGATAAAATACTTTTATAAGTAGTTATTCAACCACATTTCATTAATTATCCCAGGAAAAGAAAGCAATTTCCCAGGATCTCTTCCAATTTTTTTTCCATCACCTCAGGCCCAATGCGATTCGGTACAGGCAGATTAGGGTAGCTGATGATTCCTATTGATTTAAATGTCGTGCTAGGAAGCCTAAATCCCCAAGAGCAATAGAATCTCCCCTATCACTATCCTACTGCTTATTGACCTAATTCACTAACCAACCATCGTGGCTTTCTTTCACAACAAATAAATCTTGCATGAAACAGACAGTACATGGACACTTGTAGTTTTCAGTCATGTTACCAACATAATAAATTTAAGGTCACCAGAGCATTCCTCTTTGTTCTGCAATATTGGCCATGTCACTTGCCATTATAAAAGCAGGCAAGAAATCACAACAGTATTTTTATGTCAAAACTATTTCTATGATCTGAAATAAACTTGATGTTAGATAAACAAGGCACAGTGTTCAGCATGTGTAAAATTCCATGTATTTCTATGATGTGATTTGCCCGTGAGTTGCTTTTAGCTCTGTTGCTTTATAGCTCTAGCAGTGGCAGTGCTAAACCCTCTAGCTGATATACTACATATACTAAATATTTACTGCTCAAAATTCTAATAATTATTAAAATTCCTCTCTCATTACTTGAGTCAAACAAATAAAGAATGAAATCAGGTTTGCTTTGTTAATCTGCTTCTCACAGGGCAATATTTTAAACTAAGCCTTTTCACTTGGACACTTGGATATTTGCCTCCGAGCTTAACTCTCAGTGATTTGACACCACTTTTGTTTGTTTGTAAAAGGCAGACTCTTAAACTTAGTGGCTCTGTAGAGTGTGTAGGTCACTAGATATGAAATGTGTTCTAAAAGAGAACCTCCAACATATAACAGACTTGTTAGCAAAACTACATGCTGCTTGGATAGACAGAATTGTTTCAGAGCTCAGTCCTAATTCTGCTACCAGAAAAGTCAATTAGAGGAACAGAAAGGTCCTAAATTACTAGTCCGTCATCAATATCAAGTTAAGCTTTTATCAATGTAATTA